TAGGAAAGAGTGTCCACTTAGTTTATATATATGGATGTTCTGCACAAAGGATGTACTGCATAAGAATGAAATTTCATTCAAGCTATTCCATCCTATCCCCTTCTCTCTATTTCTATTTCTCTCCCTCTAAAATCAACACTTACCTACTTTATATGCAAAAAATGAAATGAGTGACATGGTGGCATACTGCATGCCTGATGTTTTACACTACATGAATGACTCACATTAGATTGCTTGTCTCTCACACTCTGTCACTGCATTCTCTTTCTCTGGTTTTTTGATTGCTGAGTTGAATGAGTTATTTCTAAAGTTAGTGCTTTTAATCTGGTGATATTCATTTTAGTGCTTTATGTTGTATAAATCTAGGGGTTGAAATGAGTTGGGTTAAGTTGAACCCAACCCGGCTGGGCTAGAATAGAATTTGTTCGTCTTGTAGCTCAACTTGAGTTTGATATGTATCCTCTATTTAAGGTCCAACTCAATGCGATTCAAGTTCACAACCAGCTCTTTAGCTCGATTAGATTCAAATATTTGATTATGTAACATATTTTTATTTAAATATGTATATAACTATATATATATATATTTCATAAAAAAATAAAATTAATTTAAAAAATTATTATATATATATATATATATATCCCTCAATAGTTGTCAGTTTTTTATTTACCTTGTGTGTGTATTGTGTCATTTGCTTTATTTAATTAATCTATATAGTTCAGTTTAATCTATTCTCCTTGCATCTTAGCTAATTCCAGCCTCTTTTGACTTTATTTTCAAGTTTCTCACTTTTGGAGGTTGCTAGTGCTTCATTGTTTTTAGCTTGGCTTAAATTTCCTTGTGTCAGTCTCTAATTTTTTGTTTTTTAGACTGCTGCTTTCCTTGTGAAAAATGTTCCTTATAAAAAATGCTATTGCTTATTTTACTTATGATGCTCTGATTTCTGTCCTCAAACTTTTGTTGCACCTGTTGCTTTATCGTCTCTTTTACTGTTCGTATTTTCCCTACATAGCAAGTCTTTGTTTTCTATCCGTTTTGCCAGTATGTACGTACAAAGATTAGCTCTAATATCCCTCAAGAGACATGATTCTTAGTTTCTTAGCTTCTTTTTATGGTGTTCAGCCGTTGGTTCCATTGGTCATTAGAGGGAGTTGGGGCTCTACAGGGCTCATGTTCTTAACTTATATTTTTTTTTCTTCTTTTTATCCACCTTCTTAATTAATCTAAGAGTGATTTTACCCCTTTATTCTATTAGTTTCTTTTTGAAATGTCACTTTTATTAATAAGAAAGAAAAAAGAATTTATCCACTGGTCTTTTGCTTTTGTGATTCCCACTTTTTACATGGATGCTCATCCTTGTGATGACCTGCTTGATTTAAATGATCCCCATATTCTCATTAAATCATTTATGATTATGTGTGTCCTGCAGGTCACATCTTCATTAACTGGATCAATTATTGTTGAAGATGTAATTTATGAAAATGTTGACAGTGAAGTCAGTTGTATTTTTCCTTCTAGAGAGTTGGTGTTTCGACGCCTTGTATTCGAGAGAGCTGCAAATTTGGTGCAGTCTGAAGCTCTGCTGAAAGATGAACAGTTACCTACTAAATTGGTCAGTGAGACAGGGAGGAAGAAAAACAATGCATCTTCTAAATCTAGAAAAGGTGGTTCTCAGACACACAATGTTGGTAATTATTTTCCTCTTGCTTCTGGTGTATTTAAAATCACTGTTCATGTTCATTGCTTATGCAACTCTGCAAGTGTTGCACTGTTGCTTCAACATTATTGTCAAATCCTGTGATTTTGTTAATATATTTGTTGTATATAATTAAGTGTCTATTTGTTTTGGATTTTGGTAGAATTGATTTTGAACCGTTGAATACTTGAATGTGATTGTTGTGTCACAAATTATTCTTAGCCATAGATTTTACATTGGAATGTGTGCTTGGTATGGGAAATTGATTTTATATGTAATGGCGCTTTCTTCCCTTCATTTTGCTAATTTTTTTCTTCTATAAAAGTTGTGGACAGTGTTTGTGTTGGCAATATAGTTGTGCATACTTCTTTGCTATGCTTCATTTTACCCTGATGATTGGGCTAACCTTTTAGTACTGAATTGGATATCTCTTTCATAACAATGTGTATCCAATGAGAGGGCTTTGAAGGCTTTTTAATTGGAAATTATATATTAAACTGTCAATAGATGTGTTTGTCAAAACATTGCAATTAATTTTAGGGTTCAGTTAGACATTTCTCACATGATGGTCGCAAACAATGTTGTTAAAATCACAATTTTCCCAGGGAAACTGCATGATTTTCTATTTGTTTAATAAAATAATGTCAATTTGTGTTCATCATTTGCCAATTTGTTGAAGCGTTTCTAATGTTGAAAAATAATTTTGGATGAAAATGGTATGCTCTTTAGCTTTTGTTGAATTTCCATCGAACTGGCTTAAAAGCAGAGTATTAGAGAAGGAATTTTACTAATTCCAAACAATTCCTTTTTTAGTTTTCAATATTTGTTTGCTGTTTATAACTCTCTTGCCATTGTGATATTTTTTCCTGATTTGCAGGAGCAAGCAGTCATTTGACACTGACAGTCTATCATGGCTATTTAGCTAGTTCTTATCATACAGGGATTATTTCAGGATTCACATTAATATCTTCTTACATGGAAAATGTGGCATCAAGTGGGAAAATGGCAAGTATTTCCAAATTTTACTTGGGGAAATATTTTAGCCAAGAACCCTTTTTCTTTTATAATCTTCTATTTTGTTTTCAATTTTTAAAGAATTTTTCCTAGAGTAAAACTCTAAGCACTTTATGCACAGAGTAAGAATATACTCCAATAGGCACTGGGCTTCAATCTAGTAGATAATTGAAACTTGAAAGATGCTTACTTTGGATGATAAATTTAGTGAACATATGATTGAAATGATTTAATATTCTCCTATTAAATTGCCTATTTGAGTGATCAGTTTTCTGTGATGTTATCTTAGCTTCCCCTTGGTGGTCTGCTCATGGGTTTCTCTGAGGTTATAGTCTTTGTCAGACATAACAGAGATTGACATGCTCAGTTATATGATTCGATCTTGATAAAATTAAATGTTGGTAGCATGCATATAATGTGTTAGTTTGTGTATATAATAGTAATAGTTATTACTCATGATACATCTGCCAATCCTCTCATGCATTTAATACTATTTTTAGTATAAATACTTACCTTTCTAGGCAGATTTCACTCAGTTTTACCTCAAGTCCTCTCCTAATTCTATATAGCCATATCTAGAGTGACATCAGTAAAATCTAGTGGTAGTTGCATATTAACCTGTAATTTACTGTGTAATAAGGCATTTGTTTGTCTAACAAATGCAGTGGCCTTTGATGAATAATAGCCATGTCAAGGAAGTGACAACCATAAGCAGTTTTAGACTTTTAGCTACAAGAGAAAAGGCATCTCAATAGTTAAGGTTGAATACATGTGTATATCATTTGTCACGAGATGGGCTTTTAGGCTGTCCACTGGGCCCAATCTTAACATTATAAACCCATTGATAAGTAATAATCATTTTACCAGAGGTACAGGGATGAGTTCCCAAGTACCGCTATATAAAGCAGCCATTTCATCAACAATAGCATGTTGTCATTGAAGATTACACTTGGTTTTCTGTATAGTAATAGTTATAGAAGCTTAAGGGAACACCATGTCACCACATAATAGGAAGGAGAAAAAAAAATGATATGTTGAGTAGACCTGATACCTTCATGTAATGATATGGACATTTCCATTTCAGGGAGCAAAGTATGAGAGTCCGATGGAATTAGGAGATGAGTTACAAGGAGGGCTGGAAACTGTGTTGGGAGCAACAGGAATGACCGGTTGAATAACTTGGTTGATAGATGCATCAGTAGGTTGTGGTCATGAACTCATGGTCTGCATTGATTTGTGGGTATTAGTGTTGGAACAACTAGAAAAGAATGGCCAACTGGAAGCCAAGATCAATGTCTTGGTGCTTATCATAAATAAATGAGAAGGTACAATATGGATAAAGTTGTTGACTATCCTGATGCTGATTGGGCAGTTTCACTGTTGGATAGAATATCAACTTTAGGGTATTTGTGTCTTTGTTGGGGTAAAGATTCGTATATCGCATGATAAATTATAATGTGATGCATGAATATAGTATTTCATAGGTATATTAACTGCAGTAGTTTCCAATTATAGGAGATTGTAAATACATGCAAATTAACTTGTTTCACATTCTTTATATGCTCTAAAACATTCTTTCGTTCATTATTGCTGATACATTCAAGTGGCATATATCAGGTAAAAGCAGTAATTATAGGTCTCGGAGCTGGTTTACTTCCCATGTTTCTTCATGGATGTATACCCTTTTTGGAAATTGAGGTAATATATTTTTATTCCTGTTGTATTGGGAGGGGAAATTAGAGTTCAGATCCAGTCCTTAATGATTTATTCTGCAGAATGACTAATATAACATGGTTTGATAATAATTTATATTTACAGACCGTGGAGTTAGACCCTGTCATTGTTGATGTTGCAAGGGACCACTTCAGTTTTGTTGAGGATAAACGCTTGAAGGTAGACAACTTATACCTTCATGTCTTTCCCGAGTTATACATTCACGTCTTTCTCTTGAGGTGTTGTGGAACTTGAAATCTAAATTAGGATCAATCAAAGGAGTAAAGCTAGATTGCTAAGCATCAAAGGAAATATCCATGTGAAGCAGTAAATATTTTTAAAGAATGGTTATCTATCTCTACTTGAATCATAGAATGTTGACTCTTTCAAGTAGTTATTCTAATTTCATGATTTTTTTCAGTTTTAAACACCAGTTTAAAATATGAATGTATGGATGATGATGAAAATATAGCAACTGCAGATAAAGTGACTTCGGGATTTTTTTTTTTTTTTTTGTTGGGGAGGGGGATGTGTCTAGAATACTAAGACCACTATAATTAAGAATTTGTGAAATTAATCTTGTGCTGGGGAGGTCGCAACATTGGCTACTGAATCTTGTTACTTTTGGAAATCCAGGTGCATATTGCTGATGGGATTCAGTTTGTCCAAGAGATTGGCAGTTCTGGAGTAACTCAGATTCATGGAAAAATTAATGATCCTAGCCATACCAAGTCTCCTGTAAATGCGAGTTCAACTGTGTCTCATGCTGATGTAGAAGCAACAAAAGTTGATATAGTTATTGTTGATGTTGACTCTTCAGATCCAAGGTGAATTGAGTTTTGCACTTGGTTATTACATTAAGCATTAAAGAATGACCAATAAAAAATGGTATTAGGCAATTAAAGGAATAAAAATAATATTTTCTATGATTTAAAGAATCCTACTTATCCATTACATATTTTCTACAGCTCAGGATTGGCATGCCCTGCTCCGGATTTTTTGGAAGAGTCTTTTCTTGAGACTGTAAAGGATAAACTTTCAGAGGAAGGTCTTTTTGTTGTCAATTTGGTGTCACGGTCCCAAGCCATTAAGGATCTGTCTCTCTCGAGAATGAAAAAGGTAAAAACAAATGATTGCAATAATTTTCAGTTGGGACTTCTATTTTTAATTTGTTTGATTAGAGATTTATTACAAATGTGTTCAACAGCTTCTCTATTGATGTCAAAAGGGCTAACCAAAATTGAACTGCTCTCAACCCACTAAAAATGAGTTGGGTTGGGTTGAACTCGTTTTCTTATTAGGTTGTAAACCTCAACCCAATCTAATTCGTGGTGAGTTGCAAGTTGGGTTGGGTTTAGGCATGGCAATCTAACCTGCCCCCGTGGGTACCCATCCGAACCCGCCTCGATTTGGACAGAGAAAACCCGTGTTTATTAGGTTCGGGTTCGAGTTTGGGTTTTTCCCGATTGATAAAATCGGAGGCGGGGACGGGCCGCTTAATAATATAATTAAAAAATTATTTTTATATGTATATAAACCAAAATTAGAAATATTTATATGTAAAAATTTATATTATTTTACTTTTCTTTTATTTTTTTTAAATTTGTTCATATTTATTTAAAAGAAAAAAAGAAAAAAAGAAAATAGGAGCGGGGGCGGGGGCGGGGGCGGGG